TTTTGGGGGGGGGGGGGGTTATCCCTTTGTAGAAAGACATGATGTTAATTGTTTTCTTTCTCAATTCGTGTCTAAGATTATATGTCACAAGTCCGTTTGACAAACCCAGTTCACCTCTACGTCTTCGTACAAACGTTTTTGTCTGGCTTCCAGTGTCTCAACCGATGCGTTAAGTGCGTTCACAAGTTCCTCTATTATTCTTACTGCCTTCCTTAGACGGCTTGCTGACAGACTTCCCATCTCTTTAATTGTTTGCATCCCCTTTGAATTGCTCTTTCAGAAGGTACAAAAGATCTAGATCTTCGATCAACTCTAAATGGCCTGCAATAACTGGCTTGAATCTTCTTTGTAGACTTGAATTCAGGGAAATGTCTTACGTAAAAGGCTTTTAGTGGGTTACCGCAAGACGTGACTAATGCAGTGGTGCTTATCTGACCTGTTCAAATTGTGCATTGATTATGGTGTTCGTATGATCAAACATAACTGCTTTCAAATTTGATGTAGATCCATGTAGAAAAATGGGAAACGTAAGGTGAGTAGTTTCCTCGCGGTCACTGAGTTTGGAGCAGAAGGTACATGTAAACAGATGGACGGAGTGATAGCACAGAAAGAAGAATGAGACAGATAGATAGATAGATAGATAGATAGATAGATAGATAGATAGATAGATAGATAGATAGAGAGAGAGAGAGAGAGAGAGAGGAGGGCGGACAGGAAACCGATTTTCATATATTTTAGTCGAAGAAGAACTTTACCTTTGGGAGTAATTTCTGCATAGTAGTTCTAGTGTTGAAAGCTTCACGCGAAGTTGACATTTAGTCCATTGTCATAATAGACTGCCCTCTTCGTAAGATGCGAGGTATGCTTAGCTGTAAGGCCCACCGACAATGTATAAATAATACTATTATATTATATTATATCTGTCCAATCTTTATTAACCTTAGATAATATGATTAGCCCTTTGTACTTTTCGTAGGCTACTCACTTGTCTATCTGCTGAGCTTCAGCATCATCATCGTCTTTTCTCAACCAATTCCCGAATATAGTCCACCAACATGAGCTTTGAATGCACCTCTGTCCAGTTGTATTCCATCTTCTTTAGGTCTGAATCTATGTACCTTAGACTGTTCGGCCTTCAGGTCTTTTTCTTCCCTTGTGAATTCTATCTTAAGGCTTGGTGGGTGGTCATAATGTTTGTTTTTGGTTCTCTCCCAGTGTGTCGTCCAATCCACTTCTATATCTGAGCAGCGGTGATTGTTTTGTTTTTTATTTCGTAGAATAGCTATGTTGATAATGACGTGTTCATCCTTGTTGTGTTAAGAAATATTTCCAACTTGAATTTTAAAAAGATCTCCTGTGAATAGAGCCAGAACGGCAAGGGATACATAATTTTGTGCTGGCCCGGAGGACAGTGCTACAGTGAGATACACGACGTGAAAATGTGGCCCTACACCCCGCCTAATACGATCTGAAAACAGCTGGAGTCCTAATTCAATTTGATCAGATCTAGAATTGTACTCTGGCCAACAATACGCCTCTTCCCCCCCCCCCCCCCAAATCCCCTACCCCTCTCCCCTCCCCGCCGAGTGGGCTGGAGGTAGCAATTAATGAACTCATTGCGCACTAGCTATTGAGCAGCACAAATTCAAATCTAATCTAGGTATCTGTACTCTGATATTCTTAAAAGATACTTTTATATAGTTAGATGTAATATTTTTCCTTGACTTCTTTTACCTCGTTCTTCACTTTATCATCATCTGAGGCTATCGCTCTGCGATCGAAACGATTCATATCTTCCCAGTTAGGTGAAAAATGCACACTGAAACGAAAACCGAATCTAATTTTCCTCCCTCAGACTGCACAGCTTGACCACTGGAAGCTAAATAAAAAACATTATCTTGTGACATGCGTGCATACGGGTAAGCTTGTTTTTTCTATTATTTGCTTGCGTGCATGTTTTGTGGAGTGAATGCGGCTGGAATATTGGGATTTTTTATATGGCACCTCCGTCCGGCGTAAAGTAGAACAATGCAGGAATTGGCAGGCACCCACCCTCTCCTGCCTTTGTTCCCGGTTGTTGAGTTTGGGTTATGGGGCTCGTCTGTGGATATTGATTGGGCCTTTTTTGCCAGCACACTAGGTTCCCTCCATTCACTGGGCGACTGGTTTGTTTCGATTTGCCAGAATCCGTTTGTGATTTAATCTGCATCGTGAAAACTGAACTGAGAATGAACTCGTGTTATTGTTTCGTATGTAAAGAGTATGCTTTTGAAATTTGTTTTTATCATTTTTGATCGGCAAATAAGAAGGCCACTTTAAACGGAAGACTCGCATGATTTTTTCCAAATCCATAAGGCACAGACTCAAGAATCATTTAAGGGCATTTTATATGACTTTGGGTGTCTTGTACGTTATTTGAGTAGTCAGATGTACTTTAGTTCAGCGCTCCGGGTAATTTATTACACTATAGGGTATAACGACCCCTATTAAACGTTAAATTAGTGCTGGCATAATTTTCTTATCTATAAAGGTACAGAGTTAATATTTTCACAAAGTAAACTCAGTATAGGTAGTTTCAACCTGTTAGAGGCTTTTATTTGATATTGTTTATAATAAGCAAGAAATCCCGGATTTTAACATATTATTATTATGACTTGCTAAAACACCGAAATTTCCTTTAAAATCAAAACCTCTGAGACATTTAGAATGTAGTAATATGAATAATATTTCGTAAATTAAAAAAGCCTCTAACAGGTTGCATCAACGCCAATTGCCTACACAGAGGCCAATTTTCAAAGAAATCCTAAAAACAGTCTCTGAGATTTCGCTGCACTAAAACTCCATACCCCTAAAAATATCGCGTTTTACAGAAAAAAAAGAAAAAAAAACTGCGTTTACATTGTTTTTACTTTTTTACAACCTCAGACAAAACAATGCAATGTTCCTATTTTTCAGTATCTGCCACTGCACTAGACCAATCACCCAGTTTGGAATAGAACTATGTAAAAATCAAATAAGAATGAAGTTTGGAATGATACTTTTAGTCATACTTTAGACTTTATTCAAAATAATAAAGCGATAAAAGGAACACTACTAAACGCTGAAGTACATTTCTCAACAAGTAGAATTTTCAGGATAAAATTGTGTAGGTTGTGAGGTATATTTTTTTCCTCTAAAAAAATATAATTATTTCTTCTTGAACTTCCTCCCAAAAGTAACTGGCTGTGCCTCTAGACAGTGGCATCACAAGACACCCTACTTCTGTTAGCCTGGGTAGATGACTGGTAACATACACGATAATGCCGATAATTTAAACTTCAAATCCGATTCAGGTCAGATCACATGTGCGTAATATGTATTGATTAGCAAAGTATTATGCATTGCACACTGAAGACACGAGTTTGATTCCGTATCAGAGAGATGATTTCATCTAGTTAAGTATCTCCGAACTTGCAGAAAACTTTTGGACCGAAAGAGCGTTCTAAAGTCTCGACATCAGTTATAAAAGTGGGATGTCCAGCAGGAGTGGGACTTTCAGTGAGTGTCAGACAATCATGGTCAATCATATTTTGGTAATAGCTAACTTTTTGTAAATGGCCGGTTTGTATGTCGCTTTTTGGACGTTTACTTCATTGACACTGTGAGGAACACATAACATGTTGTGGAATAAAAAAACCAGTAAATATTGCTAGTCAACAATAGTGTATATAACGAACTGCATTTTGAAAAACATAATTACTAAGATGGAGAAGATTACGGATTTTGAACAATAAAAAGAGAAACAGCGAACCTCGCATTCAATGCAACGAATCTGTCGAGTCCAATGTCCAAATTGTTCGGCCCCCAAAGCATTTCAGATGCTTCTGCAAAACTACCATCGCAAATGCTGGTTAATCTAGGGATCCTTTTGACTTATTGAATCAAAAGCTTTTTAGATTTTAAAGAGGGATACTTTCCGAAGTTTTGCCCCAAATTAATCACCACCGAAGTTTAGCATTCAACAACAGGTAAACATGTCTACCGTCAGCAATGATGCGGTTCCTGACCTTGACCAGTAATATGAAAATAGGTAAAATCGTCCAGTAACACTTACCGCTATAATACCAAATATCTCTCTCCCTCTCTGTCTCTCTGTCTCTCTGTCTCTCTGTCTCTCTCTCTCTCTAATTCTCTCTCTCTCTCTCTCTCTCTCTCTCTCTCTCTCTTCTCTATCTCTCTCTCTTTAGTCGGTGGTTGGCGGGTGCTCTGGTTAGGTGTGCTCCTTCTTTCCTATCAAACGTCGATCATCATTATCTCTCCTCCTTCTTCTTTGTGTTTAAATATATGCATATACTCGAGAGGAAACATACACACAAACACACCCCACACACACTCACACACACACTCACACACACACACACACACACACA